AGCCTTTGAGAACAGCCCAATAAGCCTTATATAACCTTCCAAATAACTGGCATGTATTGGATTCATAACATAGCAGCAATATTTGGTCTTCAGGGATTTATTTCTAGTTGTAAATATAAATAACTCACAGATCCAACCTAGCTAGTGGTGAAATAGCTATTGATGAATGTTGTTGTACCTGAAAAAAACTAACTGTAATGGAAAGTGAGCACAATCAATGAGCATCTTTTGTCTAGGTCTCCCAGAAATCAAGCACCATCCAAGGTAGCCAAAGAACATCAGCAGCGTGGAGCTTGGGGGAAAGGGCAGTGCTTGTCTGCTGAAGGCTGCCTTTGATCTCAGCTCCTGGGGACTGACTCCTTACTGCAGGTTGGGAGGCACTGCCTTAGGGTCATGACTGGGGAAGGGGGAGGCCCTAGTAAGGTGCTTAAAGGATTGGTACAATGCGTTATTTGTGTATGGGATTATTATGATTTAATATGTTTAACAGTTTTAAATGGTATTTATATGCTTATTATTTCTAGCGATTTTATGTTATGTTTTATATGGTTTGTATAATGAGGCATTGAATTTTTGTCTAGATGTATGACGTATGCCGCTCTGGGTCCCCTGAGGGGTGAAAAGAGCAGGATGTAAATAAAGTAAGTAAGTAAGTAAATAAATAATTTTCTTATTTTCCTGCTTGGAAGACATGATCTTAGGCAATGTGTAGACCTTTAGCAGAGGCAATATTTGAATATTGCCCAATTGGGTTGTTGTAGGTTTTTTCAGGCTATATGGCCATGTTCTAGAGGCATTCTCTCCTGATGTTTCACCTGCATCTAGATGAAACGTCAGGAGAGAATGCCTCTAGAACATGGCCATATAGCCCGAAAAAACCTACAACAACCCAGTGATTCCAGCCATGAAAGCCTTTGACAATATATTGCCCAATTTTCAAGGTTTTGATTTATTTATTTATTTATTTATTAGTACATTTCTATACCGCCCCTCTCAGCCTTCCAGCGACTCGAGGCGGTCTACAAGGCAAGAATTCAATGCCACCAAGGACATAATTATAATATACAATATAAAAAACATCACTGATGTTATTCTAATATTTCTATTCCATTTGCTGTTGGCAATGTATTTCCACAGAAATATTACATGGAATATAACTGGAAATTGCTTACATTTTAAAAGAAATTCAGCACTAACATTTGAGGACAAAACAACTGTGACAACCGAAGCAGCCACACCCAAAGCTTGGAAGTGTTTCATGTGCAATCCATTAACATGTCAACACATTTCCACTATGAGCTGGTCTGTTTGCCTATAGTCTTAGAATGTTTAAAGCATCCCTAGCCAGATAACAGACATCTTGATTCTGCAGTTGAATTGACTCATTCACATAGTGCTGGTGGATTGCTTGAACAAGAAAAGACTACAACTGCTTATAGTTCACACATGACAGTATCTACATTGATGATGCTTCTTGTTGTATCTTCCAAATATTGTTCCTTGCTTGTAGGAAAGGAACTGGAACCTCTCATGGGGAATGTAAGAAGTTTAATCTGCAATTAGCTGCAGAGAAAGCAACCTCTGCAATTATCTGCAGAGAACAAATGCATTCTTCAATAATGAGCAAAGTTGCTCCTCATTTCTATTATTCCTAGGATAATTTTTATATGTCCATTGAAGCATCTGAAAGAAAAAGTTTGTTCTATAGATATCAAAGAATTGCCCCTTAAGTTTAAAAGTTTCATCCAGTTACCCTTTTCCTCCTTCAGTTTCCATTTTATTACCCAAAATATTGAAAGCATTATTGTTCTCTGTTTGCCCCAAGAAAAAAGCAACTGTGTGACATACTTACAAACATTTGTAGTTCTCAAAATAGCGAACGAATAAAGTAAAATAAAAATAAATCAGAGTGATTTTGAGAATGGTGCCTTTGACTGCAATCCACTGTGCAAGCCAACCCCAATGCAAAAAAGCCATTGTGTTCCATTGAGTTGGAAGTTAAACCGAGTAACAGTTACAGCTGATGCAGTTATAGTTGAAAGCCAAGTTAGAATTCCCCCAAAGTTAACCACTTTCAAGTCTCCTTATCTTCTGCAGGAGAATGAAATTCACATTTAAATTTCTCTCACCAAAAGAGATGGGAATTAGAAGTGCTTAACTTTAATTCAGTCATTTCTTTCTTCGTTTGGTTTAACACCAATGCATGTCAGCAGAATTTGGCCAATAAGATTGGCAAACTTTGACATCCCTCCCACCAAAATGAAAACTAGAAGCCATTGTACTTACTATAGAAAGTCTGGGAGATCCAGAGACTCAAAATAAAATCACAGTCCACAATCCTCTTTCAGAACAATGCATCTTAATCCAAATAATATCAAAAAGGTTAAACATTTTATCACAAGTTCAGTCAAGTACAGTGTAATAACAAGCTTTTTTTTTAAAAAAAAGTTAAAAGCAATTACATGCTTTGCGCAGAAAAAAACTATCACAGAAAGTTAACTTCAATGCCCTCCTCTTTATTGCTAAAGAATGTGCATTTAGCAAAATGTAATTGGAACTAGTCCTTCATTTGGAAGAATTACCAAAATGAATAAAACAATATGAACTTTATGATCCGCAGTGAAGGGTTTTGTTTGAGTCCCATAATCATCATAGGATCATTTCGTGATGGCATGAGAGAGGGCTTTCTCAGTGACTGCTTTCACCCTGTGGATTTCCCTTTCATGGGAGTTTGAACTGGTCACTTTTCTGCTGTCCTTTCATGAGCAGCAAACATTCTGTTGTTAAAACTGGCTTTGATGAGCAACTGCTTCCTGAGAGCCATTTTACAGGGTGTGTGTTTGCTCTTCCTTACTATGCTTTGAAATAATTGTATATTATTATTTAAAAATATATAATAGTTTTAATGTGATTATGCATATGGTTTTTTTTATTTCCAGAGTTTTAATGGATCCTATAAGGGGATACAGGTGGCATATATATAGAAAAACAAACAAACAAGTAATTCTTGAAATAATGCAATATATGAGGCCTTCACATTATCTGAGGAATTTGTTCTAGGATCCTTCAAGTGACATAATTTTTGTGTAATCTGGAACCATGTTTTACTTATCTGAAATGAATGATGTTTTCAGTTTTTAGCCAAAGACCATTATAGAATCACTCTGGAGTATCTCGTAAAGCCTACAGGTGTGTTCTCTCTAGTCAACTACCAGTGGAACATTCAGCAGAAGTTGGCCATAAAATTGGTGGACATCTAGAGATAATATTTCTCTAGATATTGCTAGGTACTCCAGAGGGATTCCATGGTACACAGAAGTATTTGCATGTATATGAAACCGCATTCAACGGGTTTGTACAATAAGTGGTCCTACTGTAATAATGGTAGTTCCATTCCACTGGTTGCTCCATTCCTTTTTTTCAAGAAGATTTTATGGATTTTCCATGATCAAAATGGAACATCCCTTGATACAAAGGAGAAGGGAGTGTTCTTCATATTTAGCTCCATGTGCATCCATATGTATCTTGGAATCCCTGAGCTAAGCATATTCACATACTGAAAAAGACAGGTAGGACTAGACCTGAAAACTTGGATGTTCCAGTGTGACTTTGAATAATAGTAAGCTACCAATCAAGTCCACCTAGCCCTAATTTTCTGCTTGGATCTCCAGTATTTTATTCCCAGCCATTCCCACCATTTTACATTTGTCCTGCTCAACTAGTCTCAAATCTGCACATGGCCACTTTTTCAGCTATTGGTTGGTTGTTGTGTGGTTCATGTTTTATGGTGTTTTATATTTTATTGGTTTTACTATTTTTAATATAGTTGACTGTTATTTTTTAAATTGTGTTACTCTGTAAGCTTTATTTATATTGGGCCTGGTCCCCATGTAAGCCACCCCGAGTCCCTTCAGGGAGATTCAGGCGGGATATAATAATAAAGTAATAGTTGTTGTTTTCATAGAATCTAGAATCAAAGAGTTGGAAGAGACCTCATGGGCCATCCAGTCCAACCCCCTGCCAAGAAGCAGGAATATTGCATTCAAATCACCCCTGACAGATGGCCACCCAGCCTCTGTTTAAAAGCTTCCAAAGAAGGAGCCTCCACCACACTCCGGCCATTTGGCCATTTAATTTATATGGGTAACTCTTTGGAAATAGTAATCTTTGTTTCTGCATCCATGTATGTTTGGGCAGGAACTTCACCAGCCACTGAGTTCATTATCCTTGTCTGAATAAATAAAAGAGGATAACCAACAAGGGATGGAGTAGCCATATAGCCCTTCTACCTTTCTGTTGCTGCTGACAGAATGCTGAAATGAATTATTCCTCCACTTGGCTCCTCTTTCTTTCCTCCCTCTCAAGGATTGCTTGATACCTGCCTCTCATGTACATAATTTTAGTTTGTGAAAGACTAAAAAGATGCATGTAGTCTGCAGAAAAATGGAGTGTTTGGGGATTTTATAATCAGTTGAGATTATGAAATGTCATTTAAAAACACATATATTTATGTCTAGAATAATTTAACAACATTTAGTTGATTAAAATGAAATATAACTTTAGTTGAATGGGGCATGCTTTTCTCAATGAGGTTAGAGACACAGTTGCTCATACGCAGTTTGTGTTTGATTATATTTAAAATATGGTTTTCCCTAGCATAGCTGAAGGCTGCATTAAGAAGTTCCTACAAAATTCCTCGGGAATCCATTGAGAAATTGTTCAACCCTGATTGAAATGTTTTAAACTTTCTTAGAAATGATGGACTGTTTTCCCTGGTGGAAACCTGAAATTTCCTTCTCAGGAGGAAAAACTACAGGCATCTCTTGAACATGCAGAGCTTTGTGTGATGGTTTCTTTTTTGCATTCATGTAATTTGCTTTATTTTCAAATGTAAATCATTTAACTATGCAACAGGGATATGCACCACATGTTAATATAAAGTTTGTAACAACTGCATAACGCAGGAATAATAAGTTTAAAAATTTTGAATAGGCACTTACTGGAATTACAGTTAATCCTGATACAGTCTAGATGGGGAAGAATAGATGAGAAATGAAAATTTATCCTTCAAAGTAATAGCTGCAGACATCCAGTAAAGTCACATTCCACCCTTCCGGGGACAGACACATGCAAACATGGCCACTGTGTGTTCAGGTTCTTTCCATATTGCCATAGAACGCAGATACATGGTGAGAAGACTTTATAAATAGAAGTGATAGTATAGGGTAAAAAAAAATATGGCCAATTTCAAACAAAGCTACATGGTGACAAATCTAAGTGGAGGAGAAAAAGCTTAGGGTACTGTTCCAGATGCTGGATTTAAGCTGGCCGCAACATCCTCGCCCATATATGAAAGAACAGATCAATCTTCTCCACTTTTAATTCCAAAAAAAGTGCTCCGTCACAATGGGGACTAGTGCAAACCAAGCCTAAAATCACACATTCTGGATCACAGTTAATACCTCCAAAGAAGACGTAATTTGGAGATCTTAAAACAGCATATGTAATATTAACGTTAGTAGATTGCCTAGACATTCATGAAGCAGCCAGAACATAGTTGTGCTGTCTCGTATTGATATATTTATTTAGTTGTTTTGATTATAGTGAATTAAATTTTGCCTGCTTTCGATGCTTGTAAAAAACTTTATCTTCTTCTTCCTCTTGCTCTGTCTCTTTCTTTTTGAAACAGATTCATGGGAAATAATACTTCTAAAAGGATGCAAAGTTCTCGTTGAATTCATGTAAAGATAATGCTTGTACTACATTTTGGAGGACTGAATCAAAATATCATGGTGAGTTGAGTAGCACATATTTTAAATTGTTTTAAGACCCTTAAGGAGACTGATGTATAAATATATATACATGTGTGTGTGTTCTTTTTTCTTAAATAAAATGACCTAGATTTTGTTTCCATGTAGCTGAGTTTGTCATGTGTCGTCAACCGCATCAGAAAAGTGGTTGCAAACAGCCAGGGAACATTACCTACATGCCTCTGTCTACAGAAAGCTTTCTTGGAAGAGCCCTCTTCTGGATCCCACCTTGCTGCCATGTTGTTAACAAAAACAATGCATCCGCTTGCTGTAACTCCAAATTTACACAGGAGGGCTCTGTGTGAAGCTAAAGAGGCTAAAGAAGAGTTTCCCTGTTTGATATGTATAAATTCCCTACTGCAAAATCTAATTAACATCATCAAAATTCAATGACCTAGCTTTCCTCCAAAATGGGTTTTTGAATACATCAGTCTGCCCCACTACCTTTTGCAATTTGAAAGTAAAATCACCCCAGAGCTGGTTTTTAAAAAATGCTGCACAAAAGGTTTAGAAAATAATCTCACAAAAGGAAGTCATTCTGGCAAACCTGCACTGTTCCTCAATGAATAAAGCAGCGATTGATCATTTCTAAATGCTACAAAAACCTAGGAAAGCATGATTCCATTTCTGTAGAAGAGCTGATGTGGTTTGTGTTCACAGGGCTGTTTGCCGAGGGCCGCAGACTTTGGGCATTGAAGGGTTGTGTTAATTGTGATATACACACACACACATACACACACAATTTCACAATGGCTTGTGTTTCTTTAGAAACTGAAGAGAGAGAAGGAAGGTGAAAGATGGGTTTGATTGCATGTAGCGCCAGACTGCTATATAAGGAAGACCAAAAGAAGGCAATAAAACGACTTGTAAATTTTGAAGATAGTTGATTTCTTAACTTGCACATAATGTCTTTATGTTAACCACTCTGACAAGAATCACAGAGTACACAGTCAGATTATTTTGTGTGTGCCAGGAGTGACTTGAGAGACTGCAAGTCACTTCTGGTGTGAGAGAATTGGCTGTCTGCAAGGACGTTGCCCAGGGAACGCCTGGATGTTTTGAAGATTTATTTATTTATTTATTTATTTCAGGTTTTTTATGTCCCGTCCTATCTCAACCTCCGCAGAGGGACTCAGAATGGCTTATAAATCAGCACCCTATGGTGCCCACATCAAAAACATTAATACACAATTTAATGACAATATAATAATAACAATATAAAACAGTAAACAGTATAAAACAGTATAAAACCCTTCCTTGTGAGAGTTTCTCTCGTGTCCCCACATAGAAAACTGGGGCTAACAGAGGGAGCTCATCTGCGCTCTCCCCAGATTCGAACCTCCAACCTATTGGAACAAGGGTTTGACCCATTGCACCACTGGGAGCTCCTAACCAGTTAGATAAATACTATTTTTTATGGAACTGACCTCAGTAATACATTGGTAGCAGGCATTCCAAAAGAAAAAAAAATGGTTTACCAATCTACTAATGAGATTAAATTTTAGATCAAACCAACTCCACTTCCAGGAGAAGCACTCCATAGGAATGCAAGGAATACCAGCTTTTTATGTTATTGACAAGAAAAGATACCTCAACACTCGGCAATCCATTAAAGGAATTAGCAATCAATGTGAATTTTGAAGATATGTTGTGATTTTTGTGAAAATTTGACCCCATATTAGCTTTCTATTAAAAACTGGTTTATACTCTGCAAAATACAAAGTTTTCTGAATGAGCCATAATTTGTGCAATGTTTTTGGCACAAAAGAATAGGCACAAAAGGTCCACATTGAAATCTCATCATCTTGACCTATAAGAAAGAAATACGGAAATCTTTGTTATGCAGGGTGATGACTAACATACAATCAGGACTCGCTCTCTGAAATCCAGATTCAGTGCTACATGGGAGCTTACACCCAATTGCTAATTTCAACCATAGTAAACCTGAAGTATCAACTGCACAAAGTTAAGTTAATACTTGTATAAATCCCACTGATTCAATTGATCTACTTTAGTAGGGAATAGCAATTGGATTTAAAGCGTTGTTTCATCTATGAAACCCATCAAGAGCATAGACTGGTTTTTATAGATATCAGCATATCCGTACACACAATATCAATATATCAGCAGGGCTTTCCTGTACTGAAAGAACTGTAGCACATCTGTTAGCCATATTGGATAAGGATCTTTTGGATCAGAATTTGTGCTATTTTTAGGGTACGATTGATGAAACCCCAAATGCCTCCAATATCTGGTCTTCTCTATTTAGAACAGACTGCAGTTCAAAATTAATCATGGTGGGTTATGGTGGAGTGTGCAAAGAGAAACATAAAACATAAATGAATACAATAATATGCATATTATGTGTTCATATATATGCGCACAAGTTGCATATGTATGACCATTTCTTTTCAGTGGTAAACAGGCTGTTGAATAAATGTTTGCAGGCAAGGACGGGGAAGGCTGTTTGAGATGTAAATTCTAGGATGGAAGCTGGAGAGGGATGTTACCTAGGTTGACTGTTAGCTTAACACGTCCTGCATCCAGTTCTAAACGCAGGGTGTCTGCAGATTCCCTTGAAGTTGTGGCCATTAAAATGCCATAAGCTCGCTGAGATCTGAACCGTAAGGACACATCTTCCGCCTCTGTGTGCATCACCACAGGGAGCTGTATTTTCATAAACATACTTCCGTCATAGCTTAAAACCGTTGCCTCTGTAAAGGTAACAAGAAGGAAAATTACAAGTGAGATTCACATTTGGATTTCTTTGTGTTTGACAGCACACTGTGAACACCAAGAGCAGGAGTCCACAAACTAAGGCCTGTAGGCAGGATCCTATGGTTTTTGTTTGTGGTAGAAGACCTTGTATAATCTTGGAAGTTAAGCTGAGTCAGCCCTGGTTAGTTCTTGGATGGGAAGCAATCACTGGAGACTAGGTACTGTAGGGTATAATTTAGAAGAAGGAACTGGCAAAATCAATCTATTCCTTGTCTAAGAAAACTCTACAGAATTATTGAGGTCACTATAGGTCAATACATTACTTGAAGGCACATATATACACAGAGAGTAACAAAGTGATTTTCAATCTGTAAAGAACTTAGCTCTGGATAGTTATTTGCTGGTGTAGCAGCTTTTATGGTTTGTCTGCCAATATGTGGAACATTGGTCATAATAAGGAATGTACATTACAAGTGACTCCCTCCTCTCCTGCCTCCAGCTCACTATTCCAAGGAGACTAGAAAGCTAAATAGAATTGGAGCAGAAGTTTATGCTCCAGACAACTAGAATAAATGTTTAATAATATGATGCTCATTAAGCATAGCCACAGGCTCCAGGGAAAGGAATAATAGTTTTACTATCGTTTCTGTACTGGAACTGCAAGAAAGTTAAGGGAGGAAATGGCGTTATCAAACATCACTGGAGGGCAATTTTCTCTGGGGACCTGAGAAATCGAGGGAATTACAACAATATTTTTGGGACCAAGTTTTCTAGAAATCCATTCTGTGGATAGTAGAAAATTGAGACACAAACCAAATTTTCAAAAAGCAAAGACTACAATTCTCTATACAACTCCCTTGTTGCATCAACTCTACTGGCTGCCAGTTTGATACCGGGCTCAATTCAAAGTGCTGGCTTTGGCCTATAAAGCCCTAAACAGTTCTGGTCCAACTTACCTTTCTGAATGTATCTCCCTTTATGAACCTACTAGAACTTTGAGATCTGCTGGGGAGGCCCTGTTGTCAGTCTCACCCCTGCCACAAGTGCGACTGGCGAGGACAAGAGACATAGCCTTCTCAGTGGTGCCCCTTGGCTGTGGAACTCCCTCCCCAGTGACATTAAGCTGGTCCCATTCCTCCTGGTGTTCAGGAAAAAAAAAATCTAAAGTCCTCATTTGGGGCATAGGGTAACGCAGAGTTCAATTTTAATGTAGAAATCTGAACAATATCTATGGCGGTGGTTCTCAACCTAGGGTCCCCAATGTTTTTGGCCTTCAACTTCCAGAAATCCTAACAGCTGGTAAATTTCTGGGAGTTGTAGGTTAAAAACATCTGGGGACCCCAGGCTAAGAACCACTGATCTATGGGATAACCAAAATGTATGAAATCATGACTTGACACTGTATGTTTTTAATTTGTTTACTGTATTTATATGTTTTAACTGTTTTATAATTTAATGTGGTATGTTTATTGTTATGTGCACGATGCGACATTGAATGTTTGCCGTAGTTTGTACACTGCTCTGAGTCCCCATTGGGGTGAGAATGGTGGGGTATAAATAAATAAATAAATAAAGTCTTATGCACCAGTGGAAATCTGCACAACTATGAGTCATATTACTGGACACAACTGGCCTCCTATTTAGGTTGGTCAACCCAAGATTAATCACTTCTTACTTTGCTCAGGGCTGTAAAAGTAGAATATTTTATAGCTTATACATTGTTAACATATCATGATTGGCTTGATGTATAATCCAAGTTGTATTAACAGAAGACCTGAACTCTCCTTAAAAGCCAAGATGAAAAAAAATAGAAAAACTAAGGTTGTCATCCTTTGGAAATATTATGAGGTGCTGTGATTCACTGGAAAAGATTATAATGCTCAGTACATTGGCGGCGTGTGTGTGTGTGTGTGTGTGTGAATTGTTTCCCTCAAGGAAGCCCTGTCTGCCCTGAGTTTGCAATACAAGGGCAAGAGATGTAATGAATACAGCTTGATGACAAGCAAAAACAATGACTTTCATTCTCTGGCTCCCATATGTAAAGTAGAGTCTCGCTTATCTAACCTTTCCTCGTCCAACGTTCTGTATTATCCAACGCAGTCTGGCTCCCACCTAGGTCCGCAGATGTTTCAATACATTGCAATGTTTTGGTGCTAAATTTGTAAATACAGTAGTTACTACACAACGTTACCGTGTATTGAACTGTGTTTCCTTTCGATTTGTTGTACACATGATGGTTTGGTGCTTAATTTGTAAAATCATAACATAATTTGATGTTCAATAAGCTTTTCCTTAATCCTTCCTTATTATTTTACAGATTTTAGAACTTGATAAACGCGGGCTGTAGATCGGCTTTTTAGTTGATATTGTATTAATTGTATGTTTTTTAACTATTGTGTTTATTGTTATTGCATTTTTATTGTAATTGTTGGCATTGAATTGTGCCGGATGTAAGCCGCCCTGAGTCCCCCCTAGGGGGTCAGAAGGGTGGGGTACAAATGCCCGAAATAAATAAATAAATAATCCAAAATTTTCATTTATCCAATGTTCTGCCAGCCCATTTATGTTGGATAAGTGAGACTCTGCTGCATTATAAAGGAGGAGTTGAACCATTTTAATTAAAATTGAACTTTGTTTCTGCAATAGGCAGCAAGAGAGCTTGAGATAGCCCTGAGATCCAAATGCTACAAACTTCCCTCAGGAATACAACCCTCCTCTTCTAGTTTCTTCCCATTTTGGCATCCCTTTCCCACTTCTACAAGATCCCTTTCAAGTATGGATTTTCTGTCAGTAGCAGAGAGTAGCAGACACAGGAAATGCAAACAACATTGCATATGCACAGATATAAAAGAGTGGCACATGGATCGTACAGGCTGATCAAACTGGAAAAATCCTGTCTCCTTGCATCTCTGCCTGACATTTATAATTTTTATTAATAAATTTCATCTTGCATATTGTTCTGCTGTTGCTGCAGCTGCTGCTGTGGCTGTTGCCCCGTTGAAAGCACACACCTGCAAAAGGCACTGCCAAAAGGCAATCACGTACTGCAAGCCCCACTAAAAATCAAAGAGAAAAGCCAAATTATATTGCTATGACATCTGTCCTGCCATCTGCTAGAGCTCCAATAAACAAATAAAACCCATCCACCGATTATCCTGATGTTTATACTTTTGGCATATTCAGCCAAGGGTAGCAGTGGCAAAGTGGCAATTTCTAAAGATGGTTAACCCTTTCACTTTATAATACATTTGGAGGTCATAACCTACCTACCTCCTCCCCCTGAATAATAATGTATATCCAGAGCTAGCAAACATTACATTTTGTTGTCATAGGTAATACAGTACAGTCTCACTTATCCAACATAAATGGGCCAGCAGAATGTTGGATAAGTGAAAATGTTGGATAATAAGGAGGCAAAAAACCTATTAAACGTCAAATTACATTATGATTTTACAAATTAAGCACCAAACCATCATGTTTTACAACAAATTGACAGAAAAAGCAACTCAATACATGGTAATGGGATTGTGGCGCAGTTGGCTGAGTGTCAGCTGCATTAAGATCACTCTGACCAAAAGGTCATGAGTTCGAAGCCAGCCCGGGTTGGAGTGGGTTTCCAACCATTGTGTAGCCCGTTGTCGACCTTTGCAACCCGAAAGACAGTTGCATCTGTCAAGTAGGAAAATAAGGTACCACCTTAAAAGTGTGGGGAGGCTAAAATTAACTAATTTATGAGACCATAAAGAAGCACTCCAGCGGGGAAGCATGCGAGGAATGCGGAGGTACTTCATCAGCATCGCAGATGGACGATGAAAGCGACAGCTCCCCTGGCGGCCAGAAAAAGTTAAATAGCTTCTGTGTATGTCTGTATATGTTGTATGCCAAAATTGGCATTGAATGTTTGCCATATATGTGTACACTGTAATCCGCCCTGAGTCCCCTGCGGGGTGAGAAGGGGGAAATATAAAAGCTGTAAATAAATAAATAATTAATAACTTTATGTAGTAATTACTGTATTTATGAATTTAGCACCAAAACATCACAATATGGATCTGGGCGGGAGGCAGACTGCATTGGATAATACAGAGCGTTGGATGAGCAAAGGTTGGATAAGCAAGACTCTATTGTAATAGGTTATGACTGCCTGGAATATTTAACTAATTTCAAAATCCTGACATAATTAGCTGCCTGGTCTGATCCAGTAGGATTTTTTTTTTTTACAGTGTCTGGTGTCTATTATAAATCTTCTTAATCACTTAGGAAATAATTAATGATCCCCACTCTTTCACAATTCTCAGACTGTAATTCAAGTTAATACAATGTTCCTTTCTTCCCTTTGAAGTGGCGTTATTTGCTGAAATGAGGATACATCCTGCCTCCCTCCTTTAATTGCATGCAATAAGTATAGAAAAATTGTGTCTACTCCTCAACTTGAATGGTTTATCAGCAACTGCACATGGGTCGTAGCAATAATAATTTTGCATGGTGAGATGGCTGTGCTGTGCTTTTGGGATCCCGGAAGCTGTAATCATATTAAAGCATGACCATTTGGGACACAGTTGTTACTGAAAGAGGGAGAAGAAATGCTTTGAGTGCAGTTTCCCCCCAGATAGTGAAACCCTAGGGCAGCACACAATACTCCGCAAGCTGAACAAACGCGCATCCATTGAGATTTCTGCAGGACAAACAGCCAGATAACATTGTGAGAACATGATATTAGGATGGGTCCCAGCAGATGAGGAGTGGTGCTCCAGAATAATTAAAATGACAGGAATTGTGGGAGACCTAAACCATACTTGTTGGGACAAGATAAACATCACAACCTGAGAAAGGAATTCCATTGCCTGCCCAGAATATTTATATAAAATCTCTTTGATGAAGTATGATATAAAAGTCCGATTTGGTTATATTTGTGTTTAGCAGATTTGCATATTCTTTTTGTTCCTCTCTTCAGTGGCTGCGACATGCAAAAAACAAAAAAACAAAAAAACCCCAA